CTGCAACATTTGTTATCTAATTCTGTATTTCCTTTCTTTGTCCTTTGTTAAATGCTCTGCTTATAAAAAAAAAAATAATAATGCATCAAGTCAGTTGATCAATTTTATGTATTGCTGACAGATCAGAGTGTAACGGCCACGATTTATAGTGACAGTAGAAGCCGATTATAGCGACGCTCAAGGAACCGTCGCATTAACTGGAAGAAGCTATAGCCCTATAATATTACTCATATTAGTTTGAGTGGGGATCAGAAGTTTCCTCGCAATAACCATACGGAGCCGTTATAGCCGACTTCTACTGTAAACTGTACAAATGGAGCTCTGCACGGCGTCCAGGGTATCTGCTAGTCGAGCATGCCCGACTAAAGCGCACTCGCGTTGTTCAACTCAAGTTGTTCAACTTGATTGAGAGCCTCCATACAAATCATTTGCACCCCCTTCGCTCCACACACCCCCTTCCCTCCACACACCCCCTTCCCCCCACAGACCCACACATCTATCTGTAATGCTCCTCGTGCCGTGAAATGGCTCGACTTCAGGTTATGAAAAACTTAGTCAATTGATACAATTGAGTTGTTGCAGGTGAGCTGCCTCTGCATAATAGTAGGCGTAGCACAAGCACATAATATGATCATCCACACACTCAACGAGCTGTGCCGCGATACTCAAAGGAAGCCAAGGAGTAGACTCAGCCTGTTTGCCTGTTTGCCTGTTTGATGTGACATATCCTATGGACATTTGTGAATCGCTTTTCAATTGAATTGCACGAGTGTATTCGTTGGTTAACATGAATGCTTTATCTGCTGAACCGTTCGTTTATTATTTTGTATATTCATATGCATATATTTTTTTTTTGTTTCTTCTCTTCTGTTTTTTTTTTGAATGAGCTCAGCTTCACACGCGCAGGTAATGCATGCAGTGGTATTCAGAAATGGGTTCGTTGGGTCGCTATGCTACGAATTGCACGGTTTGCTGCACGCTTCAAACTGTGATTAATTTCCGGGTGGTTGGCGATAAAACTGCTTTGGTTCATCAATATCTGGTTGCGACTTGCCGTCGTCCGTTTGCTGCTGCTGCTGCTCCTGCTCCTCCTCCTGCTGCTCCTGCTGCTGTTACCCCCTTCTGCTTGCTGCGTGTGCGCATCCAAATAAAACCAATCATTTTCTGCAAAATGTCAAATACTGCGAATTTCAGACAACAATCCCATTCCATTTCCAGTTTGCTTTTTTTTTCATGTTCTTCATATTGTTTTTTTTTTTCGGCCCGTACAAAGTTGCATTTGGGTCAATGATGTTGTGCCTTTTTTTTTTTTTTGAATCTCTGTGTGTGTGTGTTTTTTTTCTGCGCAATATTGTTGCGCAAAAAATATTGCATATTGTATACACTTGTAAATAAATAAATCAATAGGGTAACCCGCACACCCAGCCGGCCGCGCCCCCAGGGGGGGGGGGAGGGGGTGGTCGAGACGCCTCATCATTGTCTCGATACGGATATATTTGACCATATTTGTTAGCCACACATATCCTGCTCCGGCCATAATGCACTTGCATTTGCATTTCGATAGCCAACTCGACATATTTGTGATATGTCCGAAAACGTTTCCACTCGAGCGTCTTTTGGGCCTGGTCCCCTCCCTCCCTCTCCCCGCCCCGTCCCGAATGTTGTCATAACTTTCCGTATTGGCCGAGTGCGGCAAGTGCTGGGCGCTCGCCTCGGTGTCCCAGTGCCTAATGTCTGTTATTGATTTGGCTCTCGACTGCCGGATTGATTTTATTTATTGGGGCCCGTTGGAGGAGCGGGCGCTGCATAAATAGAAATTCTCAACAGTCAGCTCAAGCCACAAAGTGCCTTTGTCGGGCCATTTGAAGTGCACATTGGAATGGCCCTCGGCTGGCCGCTGCACAGGAGACTCCCATCGCCTGTCATCAATCTCTGTCTCTGACAGCGGGAAGCCTGAGCATTGCTAAGCATCCGCTTCCGCTAACATTCGACTCGCATCTGCGAGGGCCTTCAGCATTTCCAGCTGTTGCTCGCCAATTAGCCAAGCTGCATCTTTATATATTATATATACATATATATTTAT